CCCCCCCCCCCGGGATCTACATGTACTAACCTCCATATTCTTAAAAGGATTAAAGATATCAATGGTGCTTCCACTTTCACCTTGTTGGGAATACTCTAAAGAGATAAATAAAAAATTTAATTTGGAACTTCCATTTCCTTTATAAAATCATGACTCTATTTGTGCCCTTACCATCTGCAGGAAGTTCAGGCATTTCCTCATCAAGAACATCCTGTGAGTTCAATAAAATAACGCCCATTAGCAGTTATTTAAAGCACTATATATGTAACAGTTAACTGTTTGACAGATGGATCGGTTTGTTATTTGCAGTATTAAAACATGAAACTTATCAATACAGAGTAATGAGATATAAATGAGAATTAATGCTGATAGGGATAATTATTAATGATGATTATTAATGATGTTGATGATAACGATGTTGATGATGGTGGAGGTGGTGGTGGTGGTATTGGTGTTGATAATGACTGATTATGGTGGTGATGATATTGATTACTGGTAATACATGTACTTGAGGATGATGATTTAATTGATATGGTGACGAAGGTGATGATGATGATGATTGTAGTGAGAATAATGATATTGATTATGAAGATGATGGTGGTGAGGATGTTGATTGAGATAATGTTGATGGTGATGATTTTGCTGATGATGCTGGTAGATGTCATGATGATAATGATGATAATGAGTTATAAAAAAATTGAATTTCGATAAGGACAAAGGTAAGGATGGTGATTATGATAAGATTATTGCAGACTTGTAATATACCTATTATTGAATTGTTTGAAAGAAAAAAACTTACAGCTAAAGTAGAAGTGCTGTTTAGCAATTTATCGTAAGCTTTTTGAGCTCTTTCCAGGGCTTCTTTCCTTTCAACATGAAGCTCTCCTTTTGTCTGAAATCAAGAGACACCTCAGACCTTTAATTAATTTGTAACCATTCATTTTTAAATGTTAATATTTTTAAACAAGAAGGTAAGAGAAGAGAAGAGAAGAGAAGAGAAGAGAAGAGAAGAGAGGAGAATAGAGGAGAG